GCCCGGCCGGCCCCGCCCCGGCCGCGCCCCCCGCCCACTCCTTTCACTTTCTGAGAAAGCGCGGGCCTCCTGCGGCCCTCGCAGCCGCAGATGCCTTGCGGCCCCCCAGAATCTCAAGGAAGGCTCGGGTCGGGCCCCCACTGTCTCTCTCGACTTGCCCTCGAGGAAGCGACTGCTCCGCCTCTGAGTCCTGTGCCTTCCCCGCCTTTTCAAGTATTCCTTCAATGGGATCCAAGGGTCTTGACCTGCACAGGACTTGCTCCTTCACACGCTTCCTCGTACTCTTCCGTGTTTCAACCTTCCTGGTCAAAGGCTTCTGAGTCTCTGGGGCTTTCTTCTGGCCTGGGCCCCTTAATCCAGAGTTCAAGGCCATCAGCCATCCAAGGAAGCCACACCCCAAGGCTTGCACCCAACTGGAGATTCTGTGCCCAGGGTCGAGCTGAGATTGCTCCCCACCCCCATCCCTTAAAGCTCCCGACTTCCCGGCGGGCAGAGAACAAGGTCAAGAGGCGGAGCCTGACTCTCTCCAAGTATCCCAGCTACTCCTGGCCTGCATTTCCCCCGCCCTCTCCAGCCCCTCACTAGCTTCTTCCTCCTCCCCCGCCCCTTCCTTTGGAGTTTTATGGCTTTGAAAGAAAGAGCCCTTTCCTCTCTGAACTGCTGATTCGCCTTCCTAGAGTAGCCGTCAGCTTTACAGGGTTGCTGTGAGAGTAAAATTTAGAGATGGATGTTGGGTGCGTAGCTCAATGGTAGGGCACTTGCCTAGCATTTGGCAAATGCTGGATTCCGTGCCCAAAACAAAAGAAAGGAAAAAAGGTGTGATGCTCTATGTTGTAGTGAACAGCCAGCCACTCAGGCCCACCATTTCTTAGATGGACATCTAGTCACCCTTTTCAACCCTGTTTGTAAATAGAAGAAAACCTCATGGGGCCAAGAGTTGTAGCTGTGCTACTGGAAAGAGAGCATTGACAGAGTTCAGACATCACCAAGTCCTTGGAAAGGTCTGTGGACTTTGCATGCTGGTGGTCAGCTGAGCTGCAAGGCTACTATGAGCAGAAGCCAGAGTTTTCTGCCTTTACCTAAGTGCCTAAAGACTGAGGATACCCTCACTGGACACTCAGAGCCTGCTAAGGCTGACGCTTCTTCAGGAGAATTGCCTCGTACACTGACAAAGGCAGGGTATGCATGTGCCTTCCCTTTTCTCTCTTCAGCCAGAGTTTAAAATGGGCCAGGAGAAGGAGAAATTAGTGTTCAGACAGAATGAGAACCTTTGGCAAAGAAAAAAAAAAAAAAGATCCCAGGGGACTGACAAAGGAAGAAAAGGAGGGTATGTACATATGGAGAGAATGAAAGCACAAGAGAAAAGAAAACACAAGTTTGAGCATGGCCCCTTCCATGGGTAAGTCAAGGAACCACATGGATGGACACGGACACCTTCTCTGGGGCAGGATCGGGGTTTGGATGTTTGAGCTATAAAGCCTAGAGCTATGCCAGCCTGTAGCAGGAAATTCAGAGGAGCTGTCCTCGGGGTTGACTGGGACCTGACAGAAGGAGAGAAGAGGGAGCAGAGAATGAACGTGCTACTGGGTACCTGTGTGCCAGGCAGTATGTGGGCAATGCTGGGATATAAGTAGGCTTGGAGAAAACCCAGAACAATTCTTCTTCTTTCTCTTTTTTTTTTTAATTTTTATTTTTTCCTGAGACAGGGTTTTGCCATAGCTTTGGAGGCTGTCCTGGCACTGGTTGTGGAGACCAGACTGGCCTTGAACTCACAGAAATCAGCCTGTCTCTGTTTCTGAGTGCTGGGATTAAAGACATGCGCCACAACCGATGACTCTTTTTCTTCTTATATCATATTCACCCAAGTCTTAGGTCCATGATAGCAGGAACCAAACAGTTGCTTTTTGTTGCATGTTGAATACCTTATTAGGACTCATTAGGCAGAAGTAGGAAGACTAGGCATTCAAGCCACCCACAGCTATAAGTTGGCCAGCCTGGGCTACATGAAGCTATTTTTTTTCAACAACATAAATTGTTCCTTGCCATGCCTGTCTAGGTGCATTTTGTTGGATGGGTAAGTACAATTGGGAATGGATGAACCAAGAGCTAGGAGCCTCCAGCCAGAATGCTGTTTAGGGCTCTTTCACAAAGCCACAGTTCAGGAGTCCTGATTTCTATTCCTGTGTGTTATGTTAAGTTTCTCCCTCCCTGCCTTCCTACTTCCCCTCTCTCGAATTCCTTGATCTAAAGTCACACTCTGTAGTCCAGGCTATCCTGGAATTCACTGTGTAGACCAGACTGGCCTCAAACTGGCAGAGATCTGCCAGCCTCTGCCTCCTGAGACTGGAGTTAAAGGTGTGCACTTCCATACCCAGATTGAACTCACTATGTGGCCCATCTTGGCTTCAAACTCTGGGCAACCCTCTTACCTAAGGCTCACAGGGTGCTGGGATTATGGACATACATCACTACACCTGGCAGGGTTTTGTTTTTGCTTTCTTCATTAAGAAACCTCTAATTTTTGTTATTGTTGTTTTATTTTGAGACAGCATTTCCCTGCATAGCTCTAGCTATCCTAGAACTTGCTCTGTAGACCAGGCTGGCTTGGAACTTACAGAGATCCGCCTGCCTCTGCCTCCTGAGTGCTGGGATTAAAGGTGTGCACCACCAATGCCTGGCTTCCAGGTGCAATTTTTAAAGCTTCTTTAAATTAATATACATATATATATATATATATATATATATATATATATATACACACAAGGATCTCTAGGCTACACAAAAAAATGTGTGTGTGTGTATGTATGTATGTATCTGGGTGTTTTGTCTGCATGCTTATCTGAGTGCCACATGAATACCGTGCTCACAGAGGCCAGAAGAGGGTATCGGGTCCCCTGGGACTGAAGTTACAGACAGTTGTGAGCTGCCATGTGGGTGCTGGGAATCAAACCTAGGTCTTCTGGAAAAGGACTCTCATTGTTGAGCCACCTCTCCAGCGCTTCTAAAGCTTTTTAAGACAAGCAAGGGGAGAGAAAGGGCAGAAAATCATGCACTCTTGAATGAGGGACACATTACCCTGTGACTCCAGGTCCTCTTAAGTGGAGCCAGCTCCGTGCTGGAAGGAAGAGATTAGGATGTCACTTTCCTCTGGACCAGGTCTCATTCTAGTAACACATGGGCCTTCTAAGGGATGTTCTGAACATAAGACTCCAGTGTTTTGTGGGATACCTTGACTCACTCACAAAGCAAACAATACCTGTTGAGTAGCTGCAATGAACCAGACATTGTGCTAGAAGCAAAGGATGTAGGAACAAATGGCCCTGTTCCAGGGAATGATTATTATTTCACATTTTTATGGAAGAAAACCACAAATGAAACAGTCAACAAACTGGCCATAGGATGCTACAGAGCTTTCTTCAGTTTCCAATGGGTTGTCAGTGGAACCCCATGAATCCTGGCCTCTCTCAGTTTCTTCATGTATATCTAACATTCTCAAGTGGTCACTGATGTTTGGCTCTTCCCAGGGCATTCTGGATATAGGGCTGATGGAAGCCAGGACCCAATCTCAATTTTAGGGTGGGAAGAGCAGGTCTCCTTCTGGAAAAAAGAAATGTGCAAGGTGTCTTCCTTGACAGTCCCAGCGGCTGACACTTCTTGGTGTCATCTCTTCTTCCACAATCTGTCCCATACCAATAGCTTAGTCTTTCTGACAATATTCTGAAACAGTCAGACATAATGACAGCAGGGCTGGGGATTAGCAGTTGTCTGACCCTCCACAATATGTCACTCTTGTCCAAAACGAACCAAAGTGTTACCATGTATGTGCTGTTACAACAGTCTCTCCTGACACACTTCAGAAACAAGGTTTGCAGTTCTCTTAGGAGCCTGTGTCTCCACCTTGAGAACAGGGAACTGCAGGGCCTCCACTAGTGGCCGGCTTTTTGGAGGTGATGATCTCCGGCAGGGCCTGAGGTAAGGGTGGAATTGAGGCTGCTCAAGCCCCAAGTACACTAGGGATGCGCTGGGTCTGCCTATAGTAAGTGCTCACCAGGGAGCTTCCCTGCCTTTTCCAGTGGAAAGGAAAGGAGATGCAGCTCAACTAAAACTCTGAACCTGCAGGTGTGATGTCCTTCCAGGGGGCCTGGTCCACAGAGCATCAGAATTGACTGGAAGCAGGAACCAGGAGAAGCTGCCATTGGCTCAGGGTCCCAGAAGCAAGAGCCCACTACATGTGAGTTTAGGTCACCGAGTCACCATGAATCCAGGAGTAAGTCTGAGTCTCCCGCTAGGGGGTTAGGGGTGGTGGGCGACACATTTCCACAGGTGCATGCTCTCACAGGTGCAAGCCTCCTGCGACAGCTCCACTCTAGTTGCTGTTCAACCTCCTACTAGGGCTGCCAAGAACCGGGACCCATCAGATCCAGTAAGACACGCCCACACCCGTTTAGCCATCGGCAGGCTCCACCTTTCCGTAGCTGTTTCTAGAACCCAACGGGACAGGAAGCCTGGGCTCCTGCTACTCCGGGAGCCTGCGGCTGGGCGGTCCTGGCAGGGTGTCAGCTTGATCCTTTCCCTCCTTCCGTCTTCCTTTTTCCGTGGACAGTCAGCGCTCCTCGAGGCTGGGTGCTGGAATGCAGCAGAAGCAAGTGCTCCCTGGCTGGGGTTAGCTACCAGTTCCACTGTTTGGTAAGTGCTGCGCTAGGGGGAGCTGGAAGGACACCCATGGCAGAGGTGAGTCTCAGGAAGGTTCCCTGACTTTTTGGTTAGGGAGTTCTCAAGAGTAAATCGATGGGAGATAAACTTGCACTTCTGGACCCAGCTTCAATGTAGTTTGGGAGGAATCGGAAATTTGTTGGGATTCTTTGTATTTTTCTGGCTTGAGTTCCAATACTCTTGGTGGTATGTATGTTGGAAGGCCAGAGAATGACATGGAAGGGGAGTGAGGCCTCTGGAAGATTCCCCAAGCCAGACTGGCTACGTAGCTGAAGATGACCTTGATTTTTTTTTTTTTTTAATCCATGCAGCCTCTACTTCCTGTTAGGATTGAACCTAGAGCCTTGTTGAATGCCAGGGGAGCACTGCCAATTTAGCTACAGTTGTTTTGGTGGGATTAAAGACACGGGTCGAAATGCCCAGCACATTATCCACTTAAAGATGGGGTACTCTGTGTCAGAGAAATGGGTTATCCCAAGGATTAAATGGTGGTGCTAGGCGAGCCAACTGCTGCCTCTGGCCCTTGGCTATCTTGGGTGCATAGTAGGCTGGAGTTCCTAGATGTGTCTGTGCTCCAGTACCTGCATTCTAGGTTCCACCCACCAGACACAGGGGTAGGTCTAGGCAGCCTTAAAGCTGCAGTGGACCCTCTTACAACTGCTGCCCCTTGTGGTCCCCAGGACAGCCCAAAGGAACTCAGTGTCAGCCTTTGACAATCATGCAAAATAATAATAAATAAATAATCTTGAGCTGAGTTGAATGGCTTCCTGGCTCTTCAGAGCAACTGGGCCACTCAAAGAACAGTCTCCTCCCCTGGGAGAAGCTGAGATGAGGTTGACTGTTTTACACCCTTCTCTCCACCTGTACTGGAGGTTGCCCTCTTCCAGTTAGGCAAGTGGCTGCCACAGAGCAGACACTGAAAACTAAGTGGCTTGATTGTCTACTCATTCTCTGCTCTACAGTCTCACTGCACGCAACAGTCAAGTGGTGGGTGGTAAAATCTGGTAGCCTTGTGGGTCCCATCTTGTCAGCCTTGCACCCGGCTTGCACTTCTCTGTAGAGGACGAGTGCAGGTCTTTGCGGCTCAGCAGCATGGGGAGCTCTCACACATCTCACCATGCAGGGCAGGACTGCCTCCTGCTCCACACAAAGTAGGCAAAGGAACTGTGCTGTCCTGAGAAAGCTGTTAGGACCAGGTTCTCCACAGCCATAGGCACCACATTAGGCTCCATTACGTCATGCTGGAACTCATGCTGGGCAAGGGAACTATCATTATGAGGATGCTGCTTAAGAGTTGAAGACAGCTGGGCAGGAGTGGCACACAGTGGAGGTAGAAGAATGTGGATCTGTGAGTTCTAGGCCAGCCTGGTCTACAGAGAGCGTTCCAGGACATCCAGAACTACACAGAGAAACCCTGTCTCAAAAATCAAAACCAAACCAAACAAACAAACAAAAAAGAGCTGAGGACAGCAGCTTTCATCCTGGGGATGGAGAACCTCAAGTGGGGTGGGGATGGGGGCAACGGAGTCCTCTGGACTTAAAGCAGTGCTTTAAGGATGCCACTGGGATGCAAGCTTTGTACTAAATCTGATCCCTTGTTAAAATGCCATCAAGTTTATTTACAAATATCTTTACAGTTTGAGTGACAAGTCAGGACTTCACACACACACACAAAAATAACAAAAACAGACTTTCTCTGTCCCTGTCAGATCTACAGACAGCATGACCTAGGTATCTGGAGACTGTTACTTCCCAGAACTGAAGAAAATGTAGACAACAGCCTTGGGTGCTAGGTCTTTCACCACTGAAGTGAAGCTGGAATGGTGGACGGGCCGCTGAGGCTGTCCAGCAGAAGAAAGACTGACAGACCCACTAGGAAGCCCATTTGGTAGGAATGGCCGAGATCTTGGCTCAGGGGTCCCGCCTCCGCTGAGACTGCAGGGAGATGCTGAATGTTGCCTGGAATCACCAGGTTACCTTCCAGTCTTCTCCAGTGTGCTTTCTCCCTGCCTTGCGCTCTGGCATCTCAGCATGAGGGTTTCAGCAGCTTCAGATGGGGAGTGGCAAAGGGGCTACAGTGTGTGGCAGTTTTAATAAAAATTTTATTACACAGCCATAATGTCATTGACACTTGTCCAAATCCAAATGATACTAGATACAGATCTACATGTGGGTCAGGGTGACGCCACAGATTATATGGATTCTATGATTTTTATGTCCTTTAAACAAGAAAATATCCAAGTCTGACATGATAGGAGAGGTCCCAGCAGCTCCAGAACTCTGCTAGAGTCAGGTGATGTTCAACAGTCTGATTCCACATTTACACAACAGTCTATGGAGCTTCCGTCCATGGACTCTTCAAGTATGTATGATTGCAAGGAGTCCATCACTGGTCCTTTGCCCAACTCTGCGCCACAGCTACACCAGCTGGGGCACAGCCACACTTCCAGATTCAACAATCAACAATACTTCTTCAAAACCATCCGTTGCTGCTTTTTAAAAAAGTAAAAATGTAAACTAAGATAAAGCAACACCAAGGCTTTACTCAACCATTAGAACTATTACGTCCATTTTTGTTTAAATACTATTTAATTCCATGATTTCCCATCAGCTCTTCCTTCTACAGGAGTCAAGTACAGAGCAGAGCTTGGGTCCTCACTGTGTGAAGATCGCAGCTCTCGCTGTTTCTTTAGCCTAGTGCTTGGAGGGAAGCATGAGCTGTACTTTGTTCTGAAAAGATTTGTTAAATGCCACTTTTATTTACAGTTGGAGCTTTACACCTGAGAATGATTATCAAGCAGTCAGCTTAAGTCTTTTCAAACATTTCATAACAACATACACACCTCTTTGCTGGCTTCACCCTAGCTGCACAACAATGTGTGTGTGTGTATATATATTTATATATATATATGTATTTTTACCACACATATATATGCACACACGCAGGCACACACACAGACACACACGCACCACTGCACATGCTGGTAACATTTGTAACCTACGTCTTTTTGTTTGCTCTCCACATTCATGTTGAATTATTTCTTTAAAAAACAAAACAAAATGTTATTCTTGTCAAACATCAGAGTCAACTAAGAAAAGACAGGTAGTAGGTACACTGGGAGGGAACGAGAAATGCTATGTTCAGTCAAGAAGCTACAGGCTGTGCCTGTGTAATGAGCAAGACTCTTTGGCTACCCTCCTTGGGACCTGCCATGAGCTTCCTGCCCACCGGCCAGGACACAGCCTGTGGGACAAGGGGACTAGATGGACATTTCCTGTGGGGTAGGGCAGTGCTAGGGAAGAGGGGAGGGAAGTCACACAGCTACAGCAGTCAGGCCTGTTTAGTAAGAAGAATCACATTTAATCAGTTTCTTTCTTGCAGTTTCAGATGCTCAAGTACAGCTCAAAAAAAAAAAAAAAAAATCTGAAACAGCTCTAGAACCATGACAGACTGATACAAAGAGTACTGCATTTTAAAAAATGATAAAAAATCCACACACACACACACACCCACACACACATTCTCTCTCTTTCAAATTAGACCCCCTCCCTCCCCATAAATGTACACTTTTTGGAAACTAAACTGTTTTTGAAAATCCCTCTTCCATGGACACGGGAAGAAGGGAAAGATGAAGAGGAAGGAAGACAGCAGACGCACAGTCCCCACTCTCTTTGCAAGGGTTAGGTGCCATGTTCAATGGCCAGCCCCAAGGCAGTCAGAAGAGGACTGAAGTGCTTGCTGCCACTGTTGCCACCAGGGACTCTAGCAAGAACCCCAGCTCCACGGTAATACTGAATGTGCAGAGTGGCCAAACTGTGCTAGTTAAAACCAAAAGTGGGTGGGGAGGGCAAACACAAATCTAAGGACATGGAACAGATCCACCTTGGGTGGGGCCTGGGGGGTTGGTAGGAGATGGTGCAAACAAGGGAGGTCTATACAGCAAATGGTTTATATTACAATGACTGGCAGTTTAGAGTCTCTTCCCAGTTCCATGGCTGCTCCAGCCCAAAGAGGGCAAATCAGAGGAAAAGAGGAAAGTCAGACCCTGATGGGGCATGCAGGGTTGGAAGCAGCAGGCTGGGAGTGCTCAAATAAGCCCCCGTCGTTTTTTGTAGTCTTCTAAGTTCAGAGATCTCCTTGGAGCTCCATCCTTGGCTGGTGGGGCCTTGGAGGTGATGGCCAAAGCTTTGGACTCTGGGAAAGAATAAATTCACAAACTAAGAATCTTGGCTTTCCTTCTTTGGGTAGCCTTGCTGACTGGAGCCTGCTCTCTCAAGAAGGATCTGTGGCCTATCTGACCTAGGCTCTATGGATCATGAGAAGCAGGCACCCCCTTTTCTTCCCCACAGTCAAGACTCCAAGTTGATAGACCCACAAATCTATCTGGTCCTTTAGTGCCCTCTCCAAGTCCCAACACAAACACACCTGAGCTTGGAACTTGTAAGTCAATCTTCACATCAAAATCATGGACCTTGAACAAGTCTTCTGAGAGGTCACTGGCTGACTTAGAATTCAAATCTTTATCCTTTCCCTGACCCTGCAATGAGAAAAGGAAACAAACTATATAAATGCAAGCAGTGAGGCTGGAGGGCTGGCTCAGAGGTTAAGAACACTTCCGGAGGACCTGGGTTCAGTTCTCAGCACCCACATGAAAGTTCACAACCATTTATAACCAGGGGACAAGATGCCTTCTTTTGACCTTTGTGGACAATAGGCATATCATGTGGTAGATATACATAAATGCAGGTAAAACATTCATACACATAAAATAAGATAAATAAAATACAAACAGATTTAAAGAAACAGCAGCCATTGATGGTCAAAGCTCTTGAACAAGATCATATGCTAATATACACACTTGTGGACAATGACCTTGTGTATGACCCTCAGAAATGCTACTTATCTCCTTTCAGACAGATCTCCTTGGTGCTCACCAATGAGGCCATGCTAGTGCCCAGCAAGTCCAGGAGCCCTCCTCTGCCTCCTCAGCACTGTGATTACAGATGTAAACCACTATGCTAGCTAGGCATTTTTACACACACAGGTTCTGGGGATCAAACTCAAGTCTCCATGCTTTTGAGGGAAGAATTTACCAACTGAGCCATCATTTCACTAGCCTCCCACCCTCTGAAGTGACACTTCTTTCTTTAAAAGTGTGTGTGTGTGTGTGTGTGTGTGTGTACACACACACACACACACACACACACACACACACACATATATATATATACATAAATATATTATGCATATAATATCTTACAATAAGTCAATAAGTCTGTGGCATAGGAATGGAAAAGGTGGGCTTAAGACAACAGGCCCCTTCTGATCCTAGACTCAAGGCACTCATGGGTCAGTCAGGGAAACATCTGAAATGGAAAACTACTTGCTTTAACTTTGATGCATCAGCCTTCACCTCCCCAGGGAAGCATAATGGGCACAAGCAACCCCAGTTTCTTTCATGTGGTGCTGGGTATGCTGCACTAGGGAGGACTCTACCAACCGAGCCACACCCCCAGCTCCTATTTACTTCCTGTTTCTTTGAAACAAGGTCCCACGAACTCAGGCTGGCCTTCAAACTCTTGTTGATCCTTGTTTCTCCACCTCCTGAGTGCTCAGATTATAGGCATGTATCATGACATCTATAACCTCAGCACTCAGAGGATGCCTCAGCAGAAGGGTCTTTGCAAGTTCAAGCCCAGACAAGGGCAGAGTAAGACTGCATCAGGGAAAAGAAAAAGAAACTAAACAAACAACTAAATTAGCGAACCTCTCCTGGATTATCATTTTTGTCTTTCCTCTTACAACTGTCTGATCCTTACTTGTCACCTGTTTCTTCTAATTACCCTATAAGATACACAGGACACGCTGTTTTCCATGTGAGAAAATGGGCTGCAGAAGTCTAGATGTTGGTGGCCTGGACACAGTCAAGACCTCATTAAGTAGTAGTTTAGAGCCAGGCGTTGGTGGCGCACGCCTTTGATCCCAGCACTTGGGAGGCAGAAGCAGGAGGATCTCTGTGAGTTCGAGACCAGCCTGGTCTACAAGAGCTAGTTCCAGGACAGCCTCCAAAGCCACTGAGAAACCCTGTCTCGAAAAACCAAAAAAAGTAGTAGTTCAGAATCAATCACAAGGTCCTAGCCAGCAGCCTAGATCCACAGTCTCCCAGTGGTACTATACTTGCCTTGCTCATTTCCTTTGGAGCATCTGGTAATACTCCAGAACCGTACTTCGCATTTAGCTGGGCCAAAATGGCAGCCTGAACAGCTGGGTCTCTGGACTGGGAGAGAAAATACATAAATTATTTTAAAGACTACTCACATCCAGAGTCCCATGCCAGATTATTTTCCATTTACTCCCACTAATATCACAAGTACTACTGGGCATCCATTAGCAGCTCAGTGGAGTTTCCCTCAAGTGGGTAGCAGAAAATCACAATTAACACCTTCAAAAACAGCCCACCAGCAGGGCGTTGGTGGCGCATGCCTTTAATCCCAGCACTAGGGAGGCAGAGGCAGGTGGATCTCTTTGAGTTTGAGGCCAGCCTGGTCTCCAGAGCGAGGGCCAAGACAGGCTCCAAAGCTACACAGAGAAACCCTGTCTCAAAAAAAAAAAAAAAAAAAAAAAAAAAACAGCCCACCAGGCCTCCATAGCAACCAATATATACGGGCTTCGGAACCTCTAGTATAAGAATCCAAAAACCCATAATGTTTCAATATCTAAAATTTTGTGCACCATTACAGTGCCAAGTGTGGAAAATTCCACATCTGATTTCATGTATTGTCAAAACCAAGTACTAAAGGTATGATTAAAAGTTACCTTCAGGTGATATATACACACATTTGAAACAAATGCATTTCTTCTCTAGGCCTGGGTCTCATCCCCAAAGTATCTCTACATATACTACAAATATTTCCGAGTCTAAAGATGCCAGAGCTCTGGAATGTTTCTAGTCCCAAGCACTGTGGCTCAGGGACAGATCTACTGCACTGAAAAATGCACCCTGACACAGAGGGTTAACTCCTGGGTTTTCACTACCTGTATGCTCTATAGCAAGATAAAAAAGGAAGAATCCAGACCTAAGCTCAAGGCAAGCAAATCCCAGCTAGAAAAA